AGGATCCCCAGAACATTGCTATCACTCTGGAAAGGTCAGGGTTCATACTCTCCTCTCAGAACGGCCTACCAGTACAATCTGGAGACCATCTGAAATCCAGTCTACTAGCTGACACTCTATACTACCTGTAGGCACTGTTTACTCTGGAAATCAGTAGGTTTTCTTCTGTTGGGTTATCGCTTGCACTGAAAGCTCTGACAATTTATGTTGCTTCTAGTCAACACTAATTTCTCTGACAATTCGAGTTGCAGCTGATCCTGGTGGATCCCATAGCTTCATAAAATTAAGAGAACCTATGAGCCTAATTCTACTAAGGTGTGAAGTGAAGCATCAATTGAAAGATAGGTCTCCTTAAATTGCTGTCTCTAATGTTAGAATAATGTAATGCTGTGCTACCTGTGAATAGAAAATAGAAGATTCAGTCTAGACATGAGTAGGATGAATGAAATACTGCTTTAGGAGATTAGCAGCTGGACTAGGATGAATATAAAAACCTTTCACCCTAAAGTCCTGCATAATCAATAGTGAATTCTCTATCTCTACATCCTAGAAATAGCATATCTGTATTTATGAAATGAAAAAACCACAAAACCCCTCCAGTAATTTCAGTAATTTTAAATTGTCTTTCAAGGAATGTTTTTATACATAATACAGACAAATGTTAAACGATATAAATCACATGTATGCGTTTATTTTTAATTTTCATGTATACTAATACTTTCAGAATTTTTCTTTTTTTCTTAAGTTTAATATTTTTTAACTTACACTTCCTTTTTGCTTTTGAAATCTACCCAAAAATTCAACAAAAAGGTGCACAAGAGGAAAAACAGCATAATCTTTCTGAAATGTAAGTAGAAGACTGTGAAACTATCTTTTGAACCTGAAATAGAATTGAAGGCACCTGTGTGACAAGGATCTTTATCTGATTTTGGCATTTGTCCTAAGTAAGACTTTGACATGACATTCCAAGGTATGGAGAATTCACTTAGAAATGTTTACAAAATAAAACAAAAGACAAGCCAAGAGACAGGACTAGGTTCTGATGTAAAATCTACAGTGTTGAGAGTAGACAGCATGGACCATAACTCACACTATTGGTCAGTAAAATGGCAGTATATTCATATGACAGAAAGTCCTATGAAGTCAGGTAGAAAGTCTGTAAAAAGCTCTTAGTTGGGAATGAGTGTGGTTTTAATTTCATATATTATTTTATGATTACCATATGTCTGAAACGGAACTCTGTAGTCTTGCAGTGATGGTGATGCAGTTACCTGTCAGGTGCATTTTGCTTCTACTCTGAAAAGAGCAGCAAACCCCACAAAAACTGAAAGTGGTGTTTTCAGTTTTGACTGCTGGGTCAGCAATGCTAGGATGTTTGACCCTCAAAGGCTACTGCAGATGGAAAATGAAGTGCTGCATTTTCAATTTTCCCCTTGCAATAATCTCGCTTTTTTTCCAGAAATGGAAATATTTTGTAGTAAAATGCCTGTCACTGAAGTGAACAATACAAAACTTCTAAGCCATCAAGTGATAAAAAAGTGAAGCTAAGAAATGGTATAGAAAATAAAAACTGGCAGCTAGTAAGACATTTCTGTGTGGAAAAATTATTCCACTGATCATTCCACATATATCATATATCTGCGTAGGCAAAACCTTGGGCCCTATGGAATATTCCTTGCTAGTGTGCCACATAACTTCCTGGCAAGCATGTGTGGAAAATAGAACAGGGAGGAACTTTTTTTCAATTTATCTGTCTGATTTAGGATCTACTGTCTTTGTAGATGTTCCCTACAGGGTGTATTCTGAATTCTTAGTCATATTAGGTGAGTAGATATTCAGTGTATAAACCCATATCTGAAAAAAAATTTCAGCATCAGTATTCATTTCGGTGTTTGAGCGATTTTTACATACCATAAATTTTTTCCTGTGCCTGTATATTATTATACTGTAGGGCATTATTTCTGTGCAAGTTATTGCATTTTGTATATGTGCCTTGGGACATGTTAGGGCACATTTTCTAAAAGAGTTGATGCATAAATGAGGCTGTTCAACTATTACTGGTGAAATATCGAGGAAGGTTTTACATAAGGAGATTATTATCACTAGTGTGGACAGTGCTGATTTGCACTCTTGAGTATTAAATATTCTTAATTCTGGCAGTTGATTTGACCTGATAATTACTTAACAAACTGAGAGGTCAGGTATTTGCTGTCTGGATGAGTTAATGGTGAAATACATCATGAGTTTGCCAGAAGATTTTAATCAATTTTAAAAGCTGTAAGGCAGCTAGGGCTAGGTGCTGGTACTTCTGGTTTGCTGTTCTTTACAAATACCTGTAAGAAAAACTATTACAATTGAGCTGCAGTTTGTTTGGATACTAAATACCTGCATAAAATAAAGTCTTTCTTCTCCTCCTTCTCTCATCTGTGTGTGTGTGTGTCCCCTTAATGATCATTTCAATGTTGAGACACTTTGTTTCCTCTTGTATTTTAGGTATGAAGTAACTTAATGTAGTAGCAATCAAATAACTTTTTAAAATGCTGCTCTGTGTTGCTTTTAGAATCTGCAACATTCAAGCTGTATATAAATGTCCCTTGACATTTAACTTATGTATATGGTTCATTTTCACAACATTTAATAGCTTGAGATAAAACATGAAGGTTCTTGAAAAAGAAATCAGGATTATTATTTGCATGCACAGGTCCACAACATAAGTCAGTTTTTTAATGTCTGACTTGTTAAACTTGGACCCTCATATTGTTAGGAAACTCTCCTGTTAATTTCTTTATGCTTTCCATAAAGATTTGACCATTAAAGACTAAAATGAATAGTTAACTGCATTTTTATATATATGTATATATGTATATATGTGTGTATATATATATATATATATATTTATAAGACTATCCTATATATATATATATACATACACACACACACACACACACACACACATATATATATAAATTGATTGGTAAAACCATCTTAACTGTTGTTTGAAACATTCTTTGTGTACATTATGGAAGTCTTTGACTCAGCAAAATACTTAAGCATGTGTTTAAGCTTATAAAAAAGGACTTTGGACCAAGATTTCATTCCAAATATTCATTAAAGATAAAATTCCCTCTCATTTCAAGGAGCTAGCATTTCAAATAATGGGAAAATGTAGTTGTGAGTTTGATGTATGTATATATTAAAATAATCTATGTGTCCAGATCCAGAAGCTGCACTGCATGTGTAGATTTACAGTCATGAACTCTGAGCAAATCAATCATCCCTTAATCAGTGATATACATCTTCTTACCTTGGAGGTTTATAGGGGAGTCATTAATGGCATAGCCACTGACCTATCTAAAGCCAATAAAGATATTATGGTGCTGTGCAGTGATGACCCATGCAGGGAGCTACAGAGGCAAACACACACACACTGGTACTCTTACCACATGACTGGACACGTATCTGGTCAGCCAAAGAGCAGGTAACCATGCAGAAGATAGTCTGTGCATCATAGCTCAGGACAAGACCAAATTTGTAAACAGTGGCTCGAGAGTGAGTGCATTTTGCCAGGTTACACCAGGTATCCCCTATCTAGGGAGGGGGTTGTGAAAATATGTCAAAGAAAAGCAACGATACAGAGCAACTTATAAGACCTCCTAATTTCTTAGAGCATTACTTGGAAAAATGGTGTTAGGGGTGGGACCCGGTTCTGGTGAGTCACCAGTTGTTTTTTTGTATGCTGAAGACCTCCTTCAATAACTCAGCGAAGAGTGTATCAACAACTCAGCGAAAAATATATGGCATTTGGTGACACTTCATGCAAGTGTTAGCTTATTCTCTCTTTTCATTTTTTGCCACATAATAAACAAAACAAGTGCCTCCCTATTCTATGGCCCTGGATCTCACAAACCTGTAGGAAGTGGGAAATGCTTAGGTGTTACTCCTCAAAAAAATGCTACATACTATTCCAGACAGTGCTGAAAACATAAATCAGTATAAATGTCCTTCTAGCACTAAAAATGCATATTAAAATTGGTACTTTTGGAAGATGTCCATATAATTTGTCCTGCATTTGAGAGACCTGTGGACACTAAATCACAATTGAGTTTTATAAAGCCTCCTTCTGACTAGCAAAATTTTTAAAGTGTAACATAATCTAAACTTAAAGCACTGCCAGATAAAATATACAGAGTGTTATGGAACTGTTAACGCATGTAATACAGTAGATGAAGTACGGAATGTGGAACTTAATGAAGCTTGTTCACCAGACAAGGGTATAACACATGAAGTTGTGCAAGACAGCAACTAAGGAAGCAAGCCAATTTTTGGAAAGCTAGTTAAAATGTTTATGCAAGTTTCTTTCCACCTCAGAATCTACAGCAATTACATTAAGTTAGAGAGTTTCTTAAGTGTAATGAAAGTCCCACTATAGAAAAATTCAGTGAATGCAACCCATTAGCTACTCATAACTTAACCTAAACACAACCATTAAGTATTGAATAGCTGCTTTGCTACTTGACCTCAAAATACGTTGTTTGGATATGTAAAGCTCCATAACATTTTGTAATAGAACAGGGATAGAGTACCCTAGATAGTGTGAAAGAGCATAAACTTGTTAATGTGAATATGTTTCATTCTGGGAAAGTGTATGTGACACAGCCTCACCTAAATTTTTTTGTTGCTTGACAATATTGCAAATATGGTCTTGAACTTCACAGCAGTGTGCAAGAAACCCCAGTACCACATCAAGCCAGCATTTATCTGTTAAATAATTGTTCTGTTTGTTCAAATTTTTTTTTAAAGATACAGCAGTTTAACTCTATGAAATCGCATGTGGACCATGTTTTTGTGGACCCTTCTGAGTCTGTTATAAAACTGATATAAAACTGACTTAATGTGATTTGAGCAATTTGACAGAAACTTGATCTTTTCCTCATGTCTCAGAGTGAAAAATATTGCTGGGACATCTGTCAGGACAAGTTCAATAGACAGAAAGGGTTTCTTCTGAAGGGACTTCTTCTACCTGATGATTAATCCTATCTATCTACTTCCACAGGGAGGCTGTTTGATCACATTTGCTGTCTACATCTGGGCCTTATACAATATTGACAAAAAGTACAAATGAAACATATGTATTATTAAAGTAAAACCACACTGTCCCAGAAGGACAGGTATGTAATACTCACTGAAAAATATTTTCTTCAGAAATGGTGTTAGAAATATTTAAGGAAGTGATGCATTCATACATTCATACATTGAAATCATCAGCCAAATTAATTTCTCTACTTTTTTTTTTTTTTTTTTTCTTTTGTAAACAGATAAATCTTAATAGGAAAGAAGGTTTACCAGAGTAAAACTATTATACGGCAGATTGGGAATTTGCTGATTTCGTTATAATTTTAAATGCTATGACTTCTTTCACACTTTACAACAATGAGCAACTATCAAGTGAATACTCTAAAAGATAAAGCATGTAGAAAGACACAAGCATTTTTTTGATATCACATCTCTGAAACCAAAGGAACTGCTGCCCTTGCCCCCTGATGTAAATAAGGAATTCTTAAACTGGCTAAAGTTCATTCTTGTTTTTCTAGTATACTAAATGCTAGAAAAGGAACACAAATATTTTCTTTTTATCATTTAGTTATGTATTTCCTCCATGTTCCTTTATTTCTTTCATAGTTCATTTTATTCTTTTTCCCCTGTTCCCTCAAGTGTCTCATTCTGAAGGCAAATTCAAGTTTCTTTTAGCACTCTTTAAACCCTTCCCATTACCATATTTTTATGCTTTAAAAAATTATATTATGCATTTTTCATTAATCTTTTGCTCTCATAGAGTCTTTTTTTTCCCCCATAAGTGACATCATGGCTATTAAGCCAGAGCAACATAATTGTTAACTGGGATTTAACCCTTCCATTGAGTAAAATAAAACGCAGTAAGGTAACAATTCTTATTTTTCTACTTTGTTTTAAATCAGCTTTGGTATTAGTTTTAAGAGCAAGCTTTCTGCTTTAAGGGATTTGATGATCACTAACTGACAAATGTTAATAAGTTTGAGATTTACAGAGCTTCTGGAGACTACTATGAGAATCTGAAAGCTGAATCTGAGATGATGTTCACCTACAGCTCTGGCATTGTGGCATTGCAGCATCGCCACTAAAACATAAAGAAATGTAAAAAAAAAAGAACCAAAAATTAGTTTAATAAAGTCAATCTGCCAGGACAGCATCCAGTGTAGTCTCCTCATCACTGCTCTCAGGGAGGAGGAATGTTAGTCATCAGACACGGTAAGGGAACAGACCAAAAATAAAAGAAGGTGTCTGTGGTTGAACAAAAAGTCTGTGAGGAAATTATGAGAATTGAGCAGAGCCAAGCCAGCATTATATAAAAAAGTCAGAAAAAGTTGCCCTTTAAGTATGGAATTTTTCATCCACTATCTGGTGTTTGCACAGAATAGACAGTAAGTAGTTCCCAGCAGCTCTTAGGCTTTAGTAAAACATTAAAGTGAGATTTAAATCAGTGATGCTAACTTTGTACAGTACTGTCTTAGCAAACTCATTACAGATTCCCTTATTCTGCCCTTTCCCTTCATCTCAGCTGGTAAGAAACACTGGTGCTGTTATTTCTCAAGGGCTGACAAAGGTCCATTATTATGTATGAGAAGGAGAAGTGAATGCCATGAAACCTGGACACAAACTATTTCTTTCCATCTTTGCAAATTTCTTTATCCTACATTTTTAATTTTCACCGTTAGCAAAAAGATACCTTGTGCATTCACAATTTTGTCTCCAGGGTGAACTTTCCAGCTGTCCTCAGCATAGATTGCTAACCTATCCATTAGCCTTTGATCATAAACCTGACCAGTTTGCCTTGAGACATCTTTCTGGATTTGATAGCCACAGTTTCAATTTCTGACAAACAGCTGGAGGAGGAAGAAGCTGAACTGACTGAACAGCAAATAAAGATCTTTTTTTATAAGACTATCCTATGCTATACAGACTATTTAGTATGTGGGCAGCAGACTTGCAAATTTGTCTGTCAGCATTGCTTTTGAATATTTTTTCAGACAGATAACACTAGTGACACCTTAATGTCTTTATCAGTCTTGGCTCAGTAAGGGGAAAGTCGAACTGTAACATCATGTTCTCCTGCTTATTTTTCTGCCAGGATCAAACTGAAACAGGAGACATCCCTTGGCTTTAAAAATATACTAGAATTTTTACTAAAATTACTTGATATTGTCATTGAGTTTTCTCTGACCATAGCTGAAATATTTGAATTCCAGAAGAATCATGTGTAATTTACACTGAAGCAGAAGAAGAAATTTCTGACATCTGAGAATGACTGAGAAGCTTCAGGCAGAAATCAAACTGTTATTAGCTTTTTAAGTACTTGTTGCCACATTGACTTGTATGTGATCTTTGTCACAGTCCCATATACAAGACATGTTTCCTTTTGAAAGACTGGTGCCAGAGAGCTTCAGTGTTTTCATGTCTTCAATGATGACAGCACTCAGTTCTGAGGTCATGCCTGGGCAGAAATTGCCTACTGGGAGTTGTTTCTGAGTTGGAACATTTCACTTAAGAATAGTAGAAATGACTGACAATAGCAAAAAACAAAAAGAAAAAGCCAAACAACCCTAGCAGTACTAATGGACCCACTGCTTCCAAAAAACCTGTTGAGGAACCAGATGGGAATTGTCTGTGGGTAAACTCTGTGTTTCTGAGTCAATAAGCGAATGAAGTGTTAAATAAAGAAAACAAATCCAAAAAAGTTTCCCTTTCCCTTTCCCTTTCCCTTTCCCTTTCCCTTTCCCTTTCCCTTTCCCTTTCCCTTTCCCTTTCCCTTTCCCTTTCCCTTTCCCTTTCATCACATCTTTTTTGCCAAGCATGAGAAAAATGCAGATCTTCTTGGTCAGGCACAGTAAAATTAGGGATGAATGAAGGCAATATTCTTGCAAATTGAATTTCCCCAAGTGTTACGAAGGCCCTTTGCAGCTGGGTGGGTGACAGCCAGATGTTATATATTCCCATTTTTTACCTCAGCATGAGTTTTACCAGCACATAGTCTGAATAGGATTCTCTTCAGTACCTTGCTGCCACTTTTAATGACAAGGCTACTTTTTAACATTGCCTTCTAAACTTCTGGCTGCACTCTCAGTTATTTCCTTCCTCCTTGAACTGCCTCACCCCAAACTGACAGTTTAATAGACATATTGTACCGTGTGGCCTATGATAAAGAATTATAGCAGTAGAAAGTGATGGTGAATAAACTAGTGCTAAAAGATATGGAAGGTTCAGCTGGGATTTTGTGTAGAAAGATAATCACACTAACTTGGCTGAAGATGTGATTGAAATGTAAAGGGTTGTTTTTCTGCTACTAGAGACAGAGGAAGTAGCATGGAGCTTCCTAAAAGATGGACCAAAAATCCCCATGGAGGCAAATAGAGAGGTGAGTGACCTGAGAAGAGCAGGTATACTTCTGCTTTTTGTGGGGAATTGGGGTATTTTAGTGGTTTTGACTAGGACAGAATTCTTCATAGAAACTTTTATGATGATATCTTTTGGATTTCTGACCAAAGTGGTGGTGATAAGAACCCCCCCCGTTTGGCTCCAGCAGAGCAGTGCTTACACAGCCTCAAGGTTTTCTTGTGCTGCTCTCGCAGTGAGTGGACCAGGGTGCCTGAGAGGCTGTGAGAGAATCCAGCCAGGACCACTGAGCAGGGGAATCTTAGCCCTGGTACCTGGAGCACCTCCTGTCCCACCTTCTTCACTGGCCTTGATGCCTGCAGAGCTGTTGCTCTCCCATTTTTTCACTTCTCTCTCTGGCTGCAATCACTCCTATACAGCAAATTTCCCCTTCTTAAATCTGTTATCCCAGAATTGTTACTGTCATTACTGATGGGATTGGCCTTGGACAGTTGTGTGTCTGTCTTGGAGACTGTTGGTATTGACGCCCTCAGATAATACAGGAAGCTTCTGGTAGTTCCTCACAGAATCCACCCCTGTAGCCCCCACCACCTGCCACAATCTTGCCACACAAACCCAATATACATTTGTTGATTAGAAAACCACTTATGGTCTTATTTTCAGAACTACTAGCAGTTGTAGGTATTCATATATTCTGAATGCTGGGTCATGGTTTTTGTATCTATATATCTATATATCTATTTATATCCAAGATGAAAAATGCTAATCTTCATGATTGTATTTCTTTTTTTGCTTTCTCCTCTGAAAAGATGAATAATAGCCATTTAAAAATATTTTGAGATTCTTTGATAACAGGCACTATATGAATGCAAATTATAACACTTTTAACATGCTGACTTTCAGTTTATTCTTATCTGAGTGGGAGTAATCAAATCCGATTTTACTTTAGAAAGCCATAATTTTATTATTACAATAAAAATGAACTAAATGGAAGGAATGTTCAAGATCCAATGCAGTTCTATGACAGCAAAGACTTTTTCACAATGAGGAAATCCGTATGAAATTACCACCTTAAATCTTTTCGCACATTTTTTTTCTTTTATGCTCATGATCTCTAAATGACAGTTGGAGGTTCACAAAGCATGAATCTTGGTGTCAGTAATTGCACCCTTACTGTATATTTATCCTGGGTAAGAGGTGAAACCTGGTGACTGTCCCTGTGCTCAGTGATTACTGACTTTTAATATAAAACCTGATCAATATTTGGGGATGTCATTATCCCCTTTTCTATCCCCTTACAGAATTGCCAAGGTGACAAGGTAGGGGGGAGCTCAGATACTCAGATGCTCTGTGAACAGACTATTAAAGGTGAGTTTATAGAATGGTAAGTTACTGATGACCTCTAAAACAGGTATCAATCCTGTTAGCAATTCTGCTCATCTCATTCAGTTCAAAAAATAGGAGGCAAAAATGAGCTAGGTTTCAATAGGTGAAAATACAAAGAATCTACATATTTACAATTTTCATGATAGCTAGATGTTTTCCTGGAAAACATCTCGTGACTTAATTTGGATAAAATGCTTGTGTTCAGAATATGGCTGGGTTAAAGACCAGGCTGAGGCATGAGATTATAGCTGCAGAGTAAGCAGATATATGGACTATATGGTTTTGAGACATCTTATTCAAACAGATTAATTTTTAAAAGGTATCCACAACAAAGAATGCTGAAAGCATTGTTATTCTTTAACATTTCCTCTCTGCAACTTGATTTTGTAATTTGCCTTTCTGCTTCATTTTATTTCTTCATCCTCAATTCTACTAAAAGGTCTTAGGTGGATTTCTGTATCTTGAAAATATTTTTATTTATTTACTTATTTTCTGTTCCTTTCACTCTTCTTTTACCCTTTATTTTTTTTGTCTTCTCACACCTTTCCCACTACCACAGAAAAGGGCAGGGAAAACAAGGCACCTTGCTCTCCTAGTAGCAGCACTCAGAGAAAGGATACTGGATTAGACATAACCGCATAGCATGACCGTGGTGCTCTGCATTGCCACACTAGATCTGGTCCCAAGTGACTTGAACCAAGTTAGCAGGAGGTTTGTGGCAGGATGTAGGATTTGCCTAAGATGAGTGCTAGCACTTGAGAAAGATAAGCAGCTCAAGAGACTCATAGTGAGATATAAACATGGATATGCTGCCAATCTTTTCACAATGGGCACCAACATAAATTTTTCCCACTGGCTTGTGGCAGAATTCATATCAGACACATACACTTGCAGATGGGTGTCGAGGGACTGGCAAATGTATTCCTTTGCTTTGCAAGCAAACAAAAATGCTCTTTAATAACCAAATAAAGAGGCAACACCTCTTGAAAAACTTCTAGGAAGTCTGCTTGTATTTTGCATTGTATTCTATTTTTGTATTGCTTGATTGAGAAAGAGGTGGAGATATTTTAGGAAATAACTAATGATAAAATCTGCCGCTTTACAGAGTCAAGAAGATTGTCTAGATGAGCTCCATGAATGAAAATTAGCCTGACAATTCTGATTTCACAATAGCTAGAAGGGCAGTGAAATACAAACCGTGGAAACAGTAACCCCTGGCGTCCTTTTAATTCTGACATTGATGTCTAATGAGCATTCCCGAGTGCACAGAGACCTTCACATCTATATAATGACTCTAAATTTTGGGAGCAGTGACAAGTTACTGGGGGAGTGATCAGCTGGGTCACTGACTCCGGTTTCCTTTCTGCAGCAATAGAAGAAAATGTAATGAATGTTTTAGAAGAACCCACTGGAAAGTTTATCCTTTTTAAACTGTGCACCACCCTCTCAAACTTTTGTCTCCAAATACCCTACCCTTTAGGCAACATTTGCAAACACAAAAAGAGCAATATTTAGGAAAAAACAGAACTGCTACTCGTCACATTTTGGAGCATTTTATACAAACAGTGCAATGGACTTGGTGCTTTGTTAGTTTGTATAAAATAAGGTTATTCATGTGCTCCTGTTAATTTCTTTCTGCACACTGATGCCCCACTCTTTTGCCATGCACTGCAAGAAGAGAACAAAAATACCCTGCTATATTTCAAATCAAACTGTAAGATGAGATTCAAAACTACAATCTCCACAGTTAGGGCTGAAATGTCAGTAATCAGTATAATAAGCACTGCCCACAACATGCCAGCTGCTTAGTTAACCAAGTTCATTGCACGAACCAGGAGACACATTTAAAGGAAAAGTTTGAGAACAGTCCTTTTAACATTTTCTTTCAGGACAGCATAGTTACTGCCAAGCATCTTGTCCTTTTAAAGGGGAGTAAGTGGGCTTGTGACAGAACCCATCCTATCTTGGCAGTCACACCTGGTGTTTAAAGGCCAGGACTGATAGACAATAGCGTATTAGGAGCATGTTGCTTGTCCAGATGGCATTTGTCTTAATCATCCGTCAAAATCTCCAGTGGTGCCAATCTAAGACCTTTCAACAACAACTTTCTGTTTCAAAGATATAGCCCTATTCTTAGACCTAGTTATTTGGTTTTTGTTTTCGGTTTTTTTTTTTCTTTCCCTAAGGTTAACAGCTCCTGAATGGTGCTGACAAGGAAATTCTTCTTGTGAAAGATATTTTGACTGTTTTTCTGGATTTTTGGTAAATCTGATTGCTCTTTGCAACTCCCCACTACATTAAAAAACACACGCTGCTCAACAAGTATTCAGTAAAGAATGTAAACTAGACAATAATGTAGTTGGCCCAACTTTTGCATTACATTTTACCTCATAGTTCAGGCATTTTGTTTGCCTTACAAGGTATTACAGACAGCACTGTAAATGCAGATCAGAGCTGCAGTAGCAGAACACAACAGAGCTAAACAGCAGATTTAATGAGGTAGGAATTTAACACAATGCTTTATTCATAGAATTTGAACGTTGAAGGCCAGATGGTGTCAGCAGTATTTCCCTCTGACTCAAGATTCAAAATTAAAACAGATTTCTGTTTTATCTTATAGTTTTCAGCTCAAATCTTGCTACTGTTTCCAGGTAATACTTTCCTGGAATAATTTCTCCCTTTGCCTTTCTGCAGTACATGCCAAGTAATTAGTTCATGAGCCACAAAAATGTGTGGTACATAGTGCATCAAAGATCAGCACAGTCAATGGACTGTCATGTTAGGGGCTTGGATAACACAGCATGCTAAATGAAATACATGTTCACTTTAGCTCAGTGAAGTGATTCAGAGTTCAGAACTTTCTTTCCATGAGGGGATGCTTACATTAGGTACTCCTGAAGGCAGAAAATAATATTCCAGGAAATGTTTTTTTCTATAGAGAGATGCAGAACAAACCCAGTGACTCAAATGAACTAGCTCTTAACCATTTTGATTCTGAAATTTAAAACAGTCACTTCAAGCGGGTCAAAGTTTCTCACAGTCTGCCAAAGACTTGCTTTTACTAGAGCTGATTTCATCCAGAAGCTGAATGACTCACTGCTCACTGGAAATTTAAGAGTCATTGCCATGATACAAGAAGTCAGAGTGTGTTTCACATTCTATATTGACTACCTCTGGCAAGTCATTGCTTTGGTCAATTCTTTGTAGGCCAGTGTTTTGGAAACAGCATTTCAATCTGAGAAAGTGTGTGAGGTTTTCAGACTATCAGGAAAAAATGCACAACTGGTTCTCTGGACATAATGTTTTCCTAGTTTGTAACAGTTTGTATCACTAAGTTTTCCCTCTCAACAATGCTAATTCATTTGGCTTTGCTGTGGGAGATGGATGTTAAAGTCTGGTTCTGTTCACCTTTCTGGGTTGAAAAATGTTCCAGCAAAAACATTCCCAGTGTCTGAGATCTATGCTGGTAACTGAGACACTTTCTGTCCCAGAAGTAAAATCATGTATCTGGAAATTCCTTCAAGACATGGTTTGTCTTTGCAAAAATTTTCTCATCCCCTTAGAGGCCTCAGAGAAGAAGCTGCAATTATCTTTTCACCTGTCCTCTTACTCTAGACCTTCTTTTCTCTTACACACAATCTTTTTAAACTTAAAAGCATTTGCCTACTTTGTTGCTTCAGCATTTGAGCATTCACTGCATGCTGACACAAAATAATCAATCCAATGCTGTCAGTCCTCTACACAAAAGTTCCAGAACTGGAAATCACTTTGCATGTAATGGACTTGGATATAGATAAACCAGGTTGATTTCTTTCTGCATTAAATAACTTTTCACTTTACAGTTGTTTTCTTGTTTCCATATTCCAGCAGGGATGAGCAGAAAATATAATTGTGCCCTGCAGAGAACTGAGTGGGTGAAGTTGTTTGCCATTGCCAAGAAGAGACCAAAACATGAGAGTTTGGGTATATGATCATCTCCTGAAAACCCAGAAGAATAACATTTTGCCAGCGCACCTCCTAAAAGCATTACAAATGGGTGAGTAAGTGTGAAGAGGCTTGGGAGATGATAAGCAACACTCTCAAATTATCTTGGTGCAAATCAGAAGAACTGGAACATACCAAAGAAGTTATTTTTAGGTTTATAATCTTTAAATATTTAATTATATTTAGATGTATAAATATTAGACTCTTTGAAAATTATCTCAGTGCTACAAGTTTCTGATAGCTGTGATTTACTAACTTATCCTAAAATCACAGAATAGTCCAGAAGGGACCTCAAAAGATTATCTGGTCTAAGCTTTCATTGGAAAGGCAGCATAAATGAGATTATCTAGCACCCTGTCTAATCACATATCTTGAAAATCTTCAGCAATGGGGACTCTACTACATCCCTGGGGAAGATGTTTCTTAAGGTGAAATTATACTCTGTATGTGCCTTGTCTTCTCTGTGCTGTTCCTTGTGAGGAGAGAGCCTCTGTCCTTTTTGAAGCTGCCCTTATGTACTGGAATGTTTTGATGAGGTTCCACCTGAGCCTTCTCCAGGGAGAAGAGACCCGACTCCTTCAGTCTTTCCTTACAGGGCAGGCCTTCCAGCCCTCTGAACATCATTGCCCCTTTCCTTCAGACCCTGTCCAATATGCTCATGTCTTTCTTGCCTTGAGGGGGCCAGAAAGGGGCATGCGACAACCAGGTACAGCCTGACAGGTGCCGAGTAGAGTGGAATGATCACATCTGTACCTCTGTCTGTAATGTCCCTTGTAATCCCCAGGATTCAACTTTGTTCCTCCAGCAGCACACTGGTATCTTGTATTTAGTTGTTTCTGGTATCTCATTGTCCCTCAAATCCTTTCCAGCGAGACTGCTCACCAGCTACATAGATCCTGTTCTATACTGGGCTCTTAGTTTATTCCAACCAAGGTACAGGATTTTGCATTTAGTTAAATTTCATACTGATCTTGGTAGGCAGTCTTCCGATCTGTTCCATTATGTCTGTAAGATGGTTCCCCCATTTGACAGGTTTGTTCACCTCACCACCCAGTTTGGTATCATCATCAGGATCCTGAAGAGATTCTAGCACTCAGGGAAGATGAATTAAAACATAATAAAATAAATAAATTGTTTAAACTCTGAGCATTTCTTGTTTTGGTGTTCTTGTATTCAACATGCAAATATTTGTGTGGAAATATGACTATAGACAGGTTAAATGACTATGTTTGATGAGGATTTTGAAGACTAAATGCAGCTCTTGCACTGTTTACTTGCATCTTGTATAATGCAATCTTTTCAGATTTTTGTGACTTAGTTCCCCATATGTAAAGAGGAGTGACAATGAGCAGCTTTCACCATTTTATTTCTAACTAGCTTAATTACAAATCTTATGGGCCTGAGACTTTCCTTACAGGTATCACCAGAATTTAAGATCCTGAGCAGTGCTGGGATTTCTAAAATCTCTCAAAGTATGACCATTAGTTTGGCGACTATGTTTGACAAATGGATGTATCCAGATAGCATTATTCATACTCAGATTATTTTCTTGTTTTCCACCTTTTCTTGCTAAGGTTGCCTCCCACCACTCCCCTCTTCACAAAGTAGGTAATAATACATAAGTTAGGATGAAATAAAAAAAAATCCTGAAGTGTCTGAAAACAGCACTTAAAACACAGTCAATACCCTCCTTGGAAAATGTCTGCTTTTTTAGTTTAGTAGCAAATTAAAAAAGAAGTGAACAAAATAGTACTTGGTCTGAATAGTTTGAATTCTGGCCTTGCTGAAGTCAAGAATTACCATTGATTTTAGTGAAGTGAGGATTTTATACTTTGTGAAGCAAAAAAACACCTAAGACTAGGATTTCCAAAAGTATCTGAGGAGATAAGATGCTTCTGGAGTGCCTTGAAAATTCCAGCCTAAATCAGTTTCACTGTTCCAGCAAATGAGTCAACCACCTATATTTGAATCTATCTTTCTGTCTCTAGTAAACCAGATGGATTTGAATTGGTATCCTAAAGAGGAAAAACACAGCCTCCATTTAGCTATCATTTAAGTCATCTAGACTTACAATATAGACCATAATTGTTTCTGTAATCCTTTTGTAATATCTGGAAATTAGTTATCCTGAAATGATGTATTTTAATTTATTTTCAAAACATTAAATATTAAAAGTGGTAGCACATGACCTCTAGATGTAATTAATATAAGAAATTATAAACCAGGCATATAATTAAATGTCCTTTCCAAAAATAGAGTACTGAGGGAAGCAGTCATTAACTAAGATTATATTACCAGAAGGGAAAACATTACTACAGTCAGTCATCACTGTGAACAACAGCACAACAAGGTTCATTCCTATGCCTGTGTATATCTATTTATAGTATAATGACATGAGCTGTAATAACCACATGACATCTCTTCCAGGATCTGAACTTGCAGATATCTACATCTGGAGAAAGAACACATCAGACAATATTTATGTTCCCTGCTCTTATTCAACCAAAAACATATGAAAAAAATAAAACTTCGGAAAACAAGAGTGCAGTTTTTATTTACTCCTTTTGTAAGGAGTGTATTTTTAACTGATTCACCTGACATTAAATCACTTTTTCTTCCACAGGAGAAATAGCTATCGCTCATTTCAAGACTTGGAGAAAATACAAAGTATGCCAGAATTATAATACAATCAACGTTGCCAGGAATTTGAATTTAATGTTGTCTGGTTTAAATTCCTAACTTTCAAAGAGAGTAGGTATTGTTTAAATATGTTTTAATACGAATTTTATCATCAAATTCCATCATTATTTTAAAAACTAGGAAAATAACTAATTATGGTGGAGAACAGGGACAGATTTTAGACCTTATTTCATAAATTCTGTCCCCATTCAACAATTTTGTGCCATATAGAGATGGTGGTGGGGACATAAAAGAAAAGAGAGGCAGTGCTAATCTGAACTTGGGTAAATTGAAGAAGACCGAACCCTTCAGGAAAAAGCATGAAAGCTGTCTTGATTTCAAGTTGACTGCCTCTGTGAGGTGGAGGAAGAAGAAGGCAGACAAATTCATGAGGAAAAAGAAATGACAGAAACTGTCAGATGTGACTAGTAAGCAAGAAGATCTCCTATCCTACATTGTTTAGTAAAAAATATACACACATGCTCCAAATAAACAAAAAAAAAATCAGCATTTACCTACCCTCTTTGAAAGACCATGTGCCATAAAAGAACTGAGGGACGAGTTGTATTCTTCATTTTTGTTCTGAGTTACTCTGAATTCCTTGGGATCAGACTGCTCTGCATGTTATTGAAAGCGGGCTCTGGGGGGGCCATTTCTGAACAGAGGTGCTGTTTACTGTGATCCTGTTGGTGAAAGGATGCATTATGTAAGATATATTTGCATGGTGTCCGTATTTTTTTGCACTTGATGTCTGTTTATTCTGTTCATGGACTGACTCATCTCCTGGGGATTCCTTCTTTCTAGAAAATGAACTAATAAAATTCACAAGTACATTTCTTTCTGTTAGTTATTCCTCAGCATAGTATCAGCATTTTTAATTCTGACCAGCTGAAAACAAGCTGCTGCTTTGTCAACTTTATTGACCTTTCAAATTAGTATGTGAGTAAACTATAGCATAGAACAAGTATATTTCACCTGGTGTAGAGCCAGCACAATGACATATGCTTTACCTTGCAGTATAGATACAATTCTTCAGCAGGATGCATGGGCCAAAAAGTGTGAACCCACTCCATGAAGGTCAGCAGGAATCATCAGTAGTATCACACTGTTCCTTTCATGGCATGTTTCTATAGGCTCAGTAAAACACTCTTTCATCTTACTCCACTTTCTTTCCAAGATTCTGTGTTTGTCTTTATAGACCACACACTTCTGCTTTAGTTTTTTCCTTATTTCTGTACTTTTGTAGGTGCATGTTTTGTCCACATTATGACAGCCCACCACGAATGGCTTCATGTTCCTTAAGGGCTGCAAATTCACCTTTATTCACCTGCAAATTCACATGTGTGCAGCATAACAGAAATGCAATGGCTTGCAAGGTACATATCCTGATCTGTCAATTTTTCATCCTTCCAAATGAGCAAAATGAGCACAGCTGTCTTCTGTTTACTGGAGAAATGTACTATTCCCTGTAATGTCTTGGAATTACTGACATATGAGTATTTATCTTTTGCTTTAAACTTATCTTCTTTTACCCAATATTTGTCTCTATTTGGATAAAAGAAGGAATGAGAATTCTATAAACTCTGTGTAAGCTGAAACGTAAGTGCAAGCTGTGCTTCTGCTTGGACTAGTGATGTGTCTTCCCCCTGTGTTGGCAGCTAGGCAATACAGATGTTTCCTCCTGAGCTGTAAAGGCTCAAAAGCACATAGAAATCACAGGTTTGATTCTTTCTGCTGGTGACTTACTTGAAATCATGGCATTTGAATCTTCCATCCCTTCTAGAGCTGGAAAAGTAGATCCACTTTTGCTCCAGAGGGACAAGCCCCACTGATTTTTAAAAGTGCAATATTGACTGAAGTTTCCTTAAGCCCAGAAAATAACAGGTTATTTTGCAGAGCCATAATACATTGCTTTGCTACTAACATTGATGATATACAACCATGTCAAGGTTATACATTTACTTTGTGCAATTTAAAGTCCACCAGCCTCCATACTGAATTTGGTTTTCCTTTCTAAATTAAAGTCCTTTTTATCAATTACTTCTAGGAAATTGTAGCTCTACTTGAGATTATATTAGCTTCCTTACATAAGGTAATGAATTAAACCTTGAAAATTAGAGAAAGCCTAATATTGAAAGTTCACTATTTAGAAAAGATTTCTTCTAATGAGAGACTTGAATATATCTAGGGAGAATTCTAACCCTGATCCAAACTTTTGTGGTTTTCATGCTCAAATGTGTTCTCATGGAAATAAATATGAGCCAAAGTAATAGAATTTAATTTTTTGCTTTGGCAGCATACCACGTTTAGAACTCGTGTAGGACTTTCTAAGAGGATTATGATACTGGTTTTGTTTCCTTTTATTTTTATTTTTTTTTTTTTTTTACCCAAATAAAGCTTAGTCTCATTCTATGTCAACATTTCAGTGAGGTTTCTATATTTAAGTGAAATTTGGAATTGTAGAATACCTCTCTTTCTTTTTCTTTCAAATTATATAAAAAAAATATTATTGAAACATTTAATTAGAGAAACATGACTTAAGTCTTGAATGACTTCCAGTTTTTACAAAATGAGATAATTGTGTCAGGAACACTGTCCTAATTCCCTAGGGCACGCGAGCCTCAGATATCACTGGCCATGAAAATAAAAATTACTTGAAAATTTCTATTGCTCCACAGAAAAAAATTGAAGAAGAAATCTTGTGAACACATTTCATAAAACAGTAAGCAACAGCAGATTGTCTTTGGAATATATTAATGTATTTATACATTCCATATTAATATATATGTGGCAATATTTTGGTAGTGAGAGGGGCTACTCTGGTGGCTTCTGTTAAAGCTGCCAGAAATTTCCCATATGTCCAGTGTAGCCAATGTCCAGTGTAGCTGGGTCCAAGATGGATCAGCCTCTGGCCAAGGCTGAGCCCATCAGCAACAGTGGTGCTGGGATAACAGATTTGGGATGGCAGAAAAGTTGCTGAGCAACAGCAATTGCACCCAGAGAAGAGGAGAGCGAGAACATGTGAGAGCAACAGCTCTGCAGACATCAAGGTCAGTGGATGAAGGGCAGGAGGTGCTCCAGGCACCACAGCTGAGATTCCCCTGGAAGCTGTCGTGCAGCCAGTGGTGAGACAGGAGGTCCATGTTGTAGCAGAGATGCACCTGCAGCCTGTGCAGGATTACCCCATGGAGCAGGTGGATGCTCACAGGAGTCTGTGACCTCATGGAAAGCCCATGCTGGAGCAAGCTCCTGGCAGGACCTGTGGCTCCATGGGGAGAAGACACCATGCTGGATCAGGTTTGCTGTCAGGACTTGTGACCCCACAGGGGACTCAGGTGGAGCAATTCCTGGACTGCAGTGGAATGGACCCACTCTGTGGTGTTTGTGAAGAACTGCAGACCATGGGAAAGATTCCCTTTGAACAAATTTGTGGGGGACTCTCTCCCTTGGGAAGGACCCTGTGCTGGAGCAGGGACAGAGCGTGAGGAATCCTCCCCCTGAGGTGGAAAAAGTCATAGAGATGTGATGAACTGATCACAGCACCCATTTCCTGTCCCCCTGCGCTGTTGTGGGGGAGGAGAGAGAGAAAATGGGGAGTAGAGTTAAGCCCAGGAAGAAGGGAGGAGTGAGGAGAAGGTATTTTAAGATTTAAGTTAAGATCTAAGATTCATTTTCATTATCCTACTCTAATTCAGTTGAAACTGAGCCTTTCATTGGATTTTCTCTTCCCTGCCCAGCTGAGAACAGGAGTGAGAAAATGGCTTTGGTGGGCAAACTGATATCCAGCCAGGGTTAACCTGGCACAGTTAAACAAGGTATTTTCATCTGTAAGTGTGAGATGGAAAAAAAATACTTTTTTAAAAAAATATTGTAGTTATATATTATAAAAATAAATCAGTCACATAGGAAATATATTATTAATCTTGTTTAGCAACTGCTAATTTGAGTTTAAGAAACTGTGGTCAAAATTACTCTTTCCTTAGACAAAATAATAAAAATGTACAAATTTTTATGTGGTTGTCCACAAGCACATACCATCTGCAAATTTACCCTTTTCTGCTGGGTCTAATTCATGAGCTCTGGAAAACATCCCCATACTAAGAGCACTCTAAAATACCAGTGATGTGAAGGCAACATGCCAGCCCAGTATTAATCCTCACCTTCATGCCCAAAATTGCCTAATGCAGAACATGGTCTTATGTTCAGAGTATCCTTACACAAGTTTTAAAACATTTCAGGCACTAAATCTTTGAAATTTTTATATCAAAATATTAATTATTAAGTCTGCTCTGTGTCATATTCCCCAAGACATAAAGTAGGCAAAATAAGAGCTGGTTTTGTGTTTATGGAAAAAAAATTGCATTAAGTGACTTCAAATATTTTTATTATCTTGTTTGACAATATTCTGCTTGGATTCTTTATCAGTCTGGTATTCTGGACTGTCTGAGGATCTGGATGACACATATATGAGGCTGCAAAACCTGTGTTTCCTTTTCTCTAGCTGAGAAAAATAGGGCAGATTACTCATCTTTTCTGCCTGCAGCTAAACCTGAATTTAAGGAATTTTGCCACTTGAATATGCTTTAGGCTTTGCTGGTTTGTCTCCTTAGTCATCCAATCTCTGCCACCTGTGTACTTTTACTGCTGTTTTATAATGAATATAAATTCAAATTCTACAGATTTCACTAGTACTCTGTTCAACTTCAGCAAGGCTGGATGAAATATAACAGCTAAATTCTTCTTTCCCCAAATTATCAAGACCTTGTATTTATTTTTTTTAATGTTAAACAAATTTGAAATTTACTACGTTTTCAATACCCTCCCCCAACCCCCACAGTATATTTAATCCCACATGTAGAACTCATCTCAGATTTTAATTCTGATGATCTTTTTAACTTTATCTGGATCTAACAAAAACTATAAAAGCTAGAGAGTGGAAAGATGTCACCTGCATTTACATTTCTGTAGCACATACTCTATTTGAACTAGTGACCGAAGGCTTTCTTTACTGTTGATTGAAAAAAGTAAGAATCTGTATTCCTCTCAATGTCAGGGTTAAAGTAAGATGAACTGTGCTACTGTTTTCATTCTTGAATGCTGCAAATCAATCCCTCTTTTCCTGAAGACCTTATTTAGTGGTCCTGTGTTCTCACATGTGATCTTTGCAAGTGATCAAACAGTTAGTAAAAAAAAAAAAGTCTGGATGCTGTATAAAAAGATGCATGTTTGTATGCTGGACAAAAGTATAAAGAGGTGATGCACTGATTAACAAAATCAGGGCAAGTCTGTAACCTATTATTTCTACTTGATGGGAAAAAATGATAGTATTTTCTCTTTGTGAATAAACAAAGTGGACAACTAAGCCTTCAGTAAAACTTTCCTAGTTTCTGTCACATATGGTCCTGAGACAGAATCACAAAATATTTAAGGTTGGAAGGGACCTTGGAGATCATCTAGCCCAATACCCTGCCTTGGCAGTCACCTGGAGAAGGTATTTCCCAGGTGGGGTTTGAATGTCTTCAGAGAGAGAGACACCATGACCTTCCTGGGCAGTGTCTTCAGTGCTCTGCTGTCCTAAATGTAAAGAAGTTCTTCCTTATGTAGAGGTAGAACTTCTTGTGATTTAATTTATGGCTATTCTCCTCATCCTGTCACTGGGCATCACTGGAAAATATCTGGCACCACCTCCTCGACAGCAACCTTTGAGACATTTATATGTATTGATGAGATCTCTCTCAGCTTTCTCTTCTTCAGACCAAACAGGTCCAGCTCCCACAGTCTCTCATCATAAGAGAAATGCTGCAAATACCTAATCATCTTTGTGATCCTAAGC